CTGTGTAATGGGGTGAGGAAAGGGGAGAGCAGGAAGAGGAGAGGACATCTGAAAGCTGCCAGATGCTGATCTCTGCTCTGGGTCTAGCCTCATGTCGGCCTCTTAGTATGCACATGGGTGATGCCCCAGCCAGTCAGCCGGCCTGGGAGGTGCTGAGGGAGTGGAGGAGGGCATCTGAAAGGGACATGTGTGAGCAAGATGCAGGAGAGTGGTGTCAGTGTTGGAGACAGCCTTAGGTGGGAAATGGAGGACCGGGCATTCCCATCCACCCTGGCAATGGCTGTTGGCGTGGGAAAGGGAAAGTCACGTTCCTTTTCAGGGTTTCCATTTCCTCATCTCTAAAATCAGGACTCAGTTTACAAAAGCATTGCCTGTGTAACATGTCAAGTGCCTCTTTTTAGTCTGTCCTTTTGGCTCCTGGGCCCATGCATGGAAATCTGCAAAGTCAATGGAAGCTCCAGAGAGGGCTGTGCCCCTGGCTTTGTTGGCCTGCTCAGAATGCAGGCTGCACCCTGACCTATCGTCCGTAAGATTCTCCACGGGCTCAGGGTGGCACCCAGAGCAACCCTGAACAAAGCCAGCATAAGAGTTCATGTGCCATTACTAGGTTTATGTGCTACGTGCATATATGGGCATGCCTTTGAATATATGTGCATCTATCCAAAGGTACATGGGAGTATATACTGTTCATCTGGATGTGTGTGCTGTAGAGACAACATGCGAGCTCATGTATGTAGATGGAGGTGGAGTGAGTGATGGTGTGTAAGTGCAAACACATGTGGTGGCACATATGCCCATGTTCCTCTGTGTGTTTCTGTCACTGTGCCTCTGAGTGAGTGCAAGCATACGCAGAAAGGGAGATACAGCAAATGCTTGAAACTCTCGTCTTGGAGCTTGAGTACTTAGAAGCCAACCCTGTGTCGCACCTAATCAGCCCCTTTGTGCTCCACTCCTTCAGAAAATTTTATTTTTTATTTTTTGGCTCGATGAGATTTGCCTGAACTCAAAGCTGATGTCAGGAAGGGCAGAGGAGAGTAGGGGCAGTTGGGCACTGATGTGGAGATTGTAACAGGCACCAGGCATTCAGGTGTGTGCCCCTGGAGGCCTCTGACTCTTCAGGATTCCAGGGTTAGGGCAAACTCGCTGCTCTAAAACACCTCCAGAGCCGCAAGGAGAGCCCAGCAGTGGCTGGAGCCCAGAGGCAGCCTGCCTTGTCTGAACCGGAAGCACGTCTAAAGTGAGATATCTGATGGCCACATACCAAGGTCAGGTCCCCACCTGCCTTGTACGCCCAGAGCAGAACCCCAGCCCTAGCTCCTAGAACAGCACCTGGATTGGATTCTCTGCTGCGTTGGGATGTGCAGCACTATCACCGGGCACTCCCATACCCGGCCCCCAGAGGTAAGAAGCACAGCCCGTGTTGGGCAGCCCCTTGTTTATCAGAGGAACCGGCACAGGGAGGCAGGAAACAGACTCCAGTGAAGTGCACCGGACTCAGGACAACAGTTTGCTTCAGAGCCCAGGTGTCATTGAGGTCGGAGGGTGGTTCAGGAGCTTGATGGCCTTAACTATGCTACTACCAGCCTGGTGAGCTGGTGATAGGGGCTACATCCTCCTCCTTTGCCCCCTTGGATCTACTTCCAGCTCTGGGAGCCAGGTGGTTGCCCTGCTCTAGCCCCATCCCAGCCTGAGCCCTACTTTCTGCCACAGCCCAGGTCCAGCCCTACACAGGTCCCAGCTCCTTCCTAGCCTAGATCCTGGGCAGGCTCTCCCTCAGGACCAGCCAAAGGTCTAGCCCCACCTAAGGCCAAACCAAGGTAGAGATCTAGTCTGGGGCCCAATGCCAGTGCTGGGCCCAGGTTCAGATCGAAACTCACCTTTCTTATACTGAGAGAAAGCAGCCTGGAGGTGCTGTACCTGTCCCTGTAAGGCCTCAACCTGCTGCCTCAGAGAAGTGACATCTGCAGGGGAGAAAATAGCCGAGAGAAGACTTGTCCAGACAACAAAGGAAGAACTCATAGTCTGGGCCCCAAGGGAAGAATGTCTAGTTGCAAGCACATATTGTGGGGCTGACCCACAGCAAGCCCACATCGGCTGACACAGCCGGCCTCTGCTGTGCAAGGATGTCTTATGGTTCTGCTATGGATACGTCGGTCCCTGTACTTCACTGACACTGAACCAGATGACATTGTGACTTTAAAGTCTTGGAATATAATGGTATCTCCATTGGGTCTGGAGTCGAGTGTAGGAATACACACTCATGTGTTTCCCATTCACTGGGTTTTAATGCCTATAACTTGGGAAGGCAGTTGTGGTTCTCCCAAGGGTCAGATGGAGAAGCTGCCCAGGTTGCTTTCCCATGAGTACTAAGTGACTAAGACCAGAGCCCAGTGCTCCTGCCTTCCAGCCTGTCCACTGTTCCTGAGTTCCACCCACCACCTGCCCTCAGTGGGGCACGCATCCCAGAGGAGGGGCTGCCCTGAGCTAAGGAGGGCTTCCTCTCTGCCCACCCATGCCCAGTGGGGCTTCCCCGAGCCAGGAGCCGCTACCTTACCTGGAAGGCCACTTTCTCCCTTTGCTCCTTTGTCTCCAGGAACACCTTTGTCCCCCTTCAATCCTGGGGGCCCCCTGGCACCTGGACTTCCCTGGGGACCCGTGGCTCCAGTAGACCCTGGGGTGAAAGAAGAACTGGGTGAGCCATGTGCCCATTTCTTAGCAAGTTTACCTTCCCGTACATGAACTAACTATCCTTATTGCCCAGAAACAGACAGTCCCCAGTACCAGCTATGCAGCTATCTGTACACAGATGTCCCTGTCATCCAGCAATCAACCCCGCTGTATAAACTGCCCCACCCAACAACCAACCTTCCCTGTATCCGGACTTCTCTGCTGCTTAGCACCGCACTCACCCTAGACAGGAACCATCCCCAGAGCCCCCTCATGCACCCTCCTTGGATATAGATTCTCCCTGTGGTCCAGCAATGCCAGCTCTGCCTTTGTGGGTGTGGGGGTTTGGGCATTGACAGCTGCAAGTGGGCACAGCAGGTACAGGAGAACTGGACCCAGCCCAGCCCCAGCTCTTTCCACTGCTCACCTGCTGCCCCTGTGTTTCCAGGGGCTCCACGCTCACCAGGGGCACCTCGCTCTCCCTTAGAACCTGTGGGGCCTCTTGCCCCGGCCGAGCCCTGCATGCCTGGGGCACCTACTTCTCCTGAGGAAGGAACACACAGGAACAAACGCAGCTGAGAGTGCAATCAGTGGGTGTGGTTTTCTTAGCAATTGAGCTTTTTACCCACAACAATAGGGTCAGAGAAAGTGGGGAGACTATCCTTGCTTTCTGGGGCCCTCTGTGGAGAGTGAGAGGAAACTATTGCTATTGTGGGGATTGGGAGACTGTGTGGCAAGGCCTTTGCATCACTGAGGGTCTGGGCTCTCCCTGGTACTCTGAGCACTCCTCAGGTCACATCACGGACCATTATCCTTCTTCCCTTCCACTCTCAGACCAACCACAGACCAGCCACTTACCTTTGGGCCCAGCTTCTCCTTTCGGGCCTGGCTTGCCCTGAGGTCCTATGTTCCCCTGCTTCCCCAAGGGACCTTCTCTTCCAGCTGGACCAGGCACACCAGGAGGTCCTGGAGGTCCTAAGGAAAAGCACCAGCCCAGTCAGTAACATTGAACCCTCTTGGCAGGAGGAGCATGTAGTAAGGTGAGGGTAATAACAGAGGTCTGGCAGCTGCGTTGTTGTCCTCCCAACAGCAGTCCCCATCTTTCACACATCGTGAAATGACCCAGTGCCACCTTCAGACAACCTTTTTCCTTCTTCTTAGGATGGGCACTGTGCATGCCCGCTGGCACATCCTCGCAGCCACACCACCACCTGGAAACACCTGAAGTCAATGCCCAGTTGCTCACCACTTGGCCCAGTGTCTCCCTTTGGTCCAGGTTCTCCAACAGAGCCATTGTCCCCTTTGGGCCCAACTGGGCCAGCTTGTCCAGGCATCCCTGCTTGCCCTGTAACTCCTGGCAAACCTGTGGCAGCAGAAGAAATGGACAAAGACCTGGTTTTAGATCCAGGAAGGGCCATTCGCCTGCAGGATCGGCCCGGAGCCTTCCTTCAGGGTTCTGCAGAGCGTGCGACTTCCATCATCACACACCGGGTCCAGTGGCGATCCAGGGAATGGGTATTGGCATGCCCACTCTATAGGTGAGGAGGAAGCTTTCCAGAGTTGGAGGTGGATTAAAGCCGACACCTGTCTGACTTTCTATGAGGTGCTCCTTCCCCTGCCCCAAGGCCACTGCATTGATGGCAGGCAATCTGTCAGCTCTTACCTGTGATCATACACTTCTTGCTTTTCATATATATATATCAGGGAAGCCAACCAGAAGTGGCACCAGACAGGTGGTGCTAACTTGTTCATTCAGTTATTGGTCCATTTGCTCATTTATTTGTTCACTAAGAGCCATCTATGCAGCATCTACATTATACCTAGCACTGGGCCAGATGCAAATCTGAGCTTAGCCTCAAGTCCTCAGCAAGGGGTTCATCATATACTGAGACAAGGGTAACAGGAGAGGAAGACAATGCATGAAGGGTCCCTCATCTCATCCGAGCATCCCCACCCCAGCACACACATACTCAGAGCTGTCTTCCTCAAAGAGAAAGTGGAATTTTAAGGGCAAGGAGAATTTAGGAAGATTTGCAGAGGGGAAGTGACATTTCAGACTTGGAAACCATGCTCCCAAGGCAGAGGAGGCCAGGCCTCCGTGGTGGCCGGGGGTTGTGGGGGGCACGAACGTGTGGTTGTGATGAGAGCAACGATGAATTTGCGGGATGGGTGGAAGATTCTGTGCTTGGTAATCCCAGCAGCACCACCACCTCGAAACATCTGAATTCCATGCCCAGTGGAATTCCACGACCTGGGTCCGGCTGTTGGTTACAATCCTTATTAGGGATGAAACGGAAGAACAGAGGGTTATAGGAGAGGCCACACCCTTGACACCCAACAGCACATTGTGCTGAAGGCAGGATGTCTTGACCTCAGGTGGAGCCTCGCTTGGGCTTCACCCTGGCCAGTCCAGCAGCAGGAAGATAAACCAAGAGAAAAACACCACTCTTCAGAAGGGAGCGTTAGAGCCCTCCTGTTCTTGGCACACAAACTGTGGAGGCCATAAGAGCACCAGAGTGGAGGAGGGGCACCTCCCTAAACCCTGCACCTGTGCCTTTCAAAGCACTCATGTGTATGTTAGTGTCCCCAGAGACCTAGCCCTGCACCTGAGTGCCACCTGATGTGGAGCTTTATGGCCCAGCCCTTAGCTGTCTTGACTCCTAAAACCCCTCCTCCCCTTCCATCTTCCATTCACTCATTCCATACATATCTCTGGAGCTTCTGCTACATGCCAGCCACTGTCCTAAACACTGGGGATAAACAGCCCTTCTCTGGGGAGCTTCAACTCTATCTCGTAGAAACAGATAATAAAACATTAAAAATGTACAACATATGGTATGTTAGATACCATGCCACAGGGAAAAGTAAAGCATACAGTGTGTTGGGGTAGGGTCTGTTTTCAGTAGGCTGGTCCGGGAGTGCCTCACGGAGAGGGTGATCGGGGAGTAAGGCCCTGAAGGAGGTGAAGTATGAGCCGCAGGGACAGCCATGAGAAGAGCAAACAGCAAGGCCTCAAGGAGGGAGGGGCTGAGCATGGCCCAGGGGCCAGCAAGAAACTGTGTGGTTGGAGCTGAGTAGGGGTTGGGGCGCTGAGGTCAGAGGAGCAGCAGGGGTGCGGGGTGGTCCTGCTGGGACTCATGGGCTGCTGTAAGGTGTGTGGTTTGTCCAAGGGAGACAAGCATCCCTGGAGGGACTCTCCCAGAAATCTTTCTGGGCAGGAATGCTGGAGGTGCTGAGGAATAAGGAATTGTTCCCCCCAAAGGCAGGATCTGGGTCTTATTTACCCTCCATTACATGTCTTAGTTATTGGTCAGAGTAACTCAAGCTCCACCCTCCACCTCTGCTCAAAGGTCTCTTCTTCCAAGCTTCAATTTTCCTTGTAGCAGGTTCTGGGGACCACATGCTTCCAACTCCGCAGGGGTGGTCATCGGGTACACAGACTTTGGCCCCACACAGACCTATAGGGTCAGGATTATGAGGATGCTCCAGGCCTCCCAGGACATCCACCCTCACACCTGTAACAGTGGAGTGACTGGAGAAACTGCAATTGAGGACCCAAAGCATCCTGCAGCCCCACTGTGTGCTGTCCTCCGTCCAAGTACTCACCCAAAGCCAGGCCTGCAATGTGCATGGGGTGAGGCACATAGGTGGGGAAGGTAGACCTTGACCATGCTCCAGGCGGCAAACTTGGAGGGTCATTGTGGGAAAGATCCCCGAGATTGGAATCTGGGGCCCCCACTGGAAGCCAGATGAGTTGGGAGTCTCTGAGAAAGAGCTGCCAAGGTGAACCCCACCTTATTCTGAGTTCCCCACTGGGCAGCCTTCCCCAGGCCTCATCCCATTCACATTGGGAGCCACCTTCTGTCTGTAAGGGACAGGCAGATGCTCACTCACCCCTTACCCCACAAAGCCTGGGGATGTTGCTTCATCTTTCCACAAAGTTAAGGACTATCTAATCCCTTTGAAGCCCTGCCCACTGTCAGAGGTCCCTTGGTTCGTGCTGCTGGTTCATGGAATTCTCCTTTCTTGAAAATAAGACCCAGATCCTCCCCTACAAGAGGGAGCAGTATTTCCAGGGACAATTCCCTGACTCATCAGTACCTCTGCTAAGCCGAAGATGATTCACCTATTTGGTACAGCAGGAAATGCAACTTTATCCCAAAGACTCAATAAAAAATAAAGCTTTGGCTCAATTATTCACCACTGAGTGGCAGATATCATTCCTATTAGCAGATAAAAAAATGAACTCAGTGACACTGAGGGTCTCTCCTAGGTGTGGAGATGGAGCCAGCTTTCAAGCCCAGGCCAGCCTGGTGCAGAGCCCTTGTCCTTTCTGCCTCCAGAAAGGTTGTTACTTAGCCTCTCTGCATCATCGTTTTCTTACCTGTCAAAGGAGATTACTATGTCCCCTGTAAGATTCTTGGGAGGATTAAATGAACGACTCCAGTGAATGCCCAAGCACTGGGGTGGACAAAGAAAAGTGAGTGCCCTTTCTCCCTGTAATGTATTAGGGCAAATCCTCTTGAGTAGGCTTGAGAATGGAACCATGGAGCCCCATCTTTTCTCACCCTTCATGCAGTGGAATTTAATTAAATATTAAAAATATTTAGGCAAGGCGCAGTGGCTAACTCCTGTAATCCCAGCACTTTGGGAGGCTGAGGCAGGCAGATCACGAGATCAGGAATTAGAGACCAGCCTGGCCAACATGGTGAAACCCCATCTGTACTGAAAATACAAAAATTAGCAGGCTCCGTGTTGGGTGCCTTTAATCCCAGCTACTCGGGAGGCTGAGGCAGGAACTCTGCTTGAACCCAGGAGGCCAAGGTTGCAGTAAGCCAAGAGTGAACCACTGGCCTCCAGCCTGGGTGGCAGAGCAAGACTCTGTCTTGAAAAAAAAAGAAAAATACTTAATGCCCTTCACAGACACCATTTAATTGGAATGAACAACTGCTAACTGCCGTCACAGGGCTCTAGAAGGCCCCCAGCATCAGTAATTCACCCCGTTTGCTTGCTCTTGGGATGGGAAGGATCTGGGGATCCTAGAGGAGGAGCTAGGGCAGTTGGGTGCTGGAGGAGCACATGGGGGCTCAGCACAGCCACCTGTTTGTCAGCTGGTGGAGCAGTGTGGAACCCACCTTCTTGGGAGGAAGAAACACATCTCCAAGACTTCCATAACAAAGTACCCAGAGTTGCTGGGCTGGTTACAACTCCAATGACCACTCCTTCCCAGCAGGATAAGCCCATGGCCCCACGCTACCTGGGTCCCCCTTCTCTCCCCGAGGGCCCTCTCTCCCATCCCGTCCATCGCGACCAGGCAGGCCACTCTCCACTGAGCTGCACATGACCAGGGTGCAAGCATTGGTCGCTGTTCTTTGGGAGTAGGTCCTCATTTCTGCTTCCAGGTAGCCCAGGGGTTGTGTGAGCAGGACCAGTGCAGAGAGGAGGAAGAGCAGCATGGCCTGGAGAGGTGAACAGAAAGAGAAAAGACATGCTCATGCTTCGAGGACATGGTTTAGGGCTTGGCTCAGCTTCTGGAAGTGATGAGAAGCCCCCATGTCTACCTTCTCTCCTCTGTAGTGCGGCACAGAGCAGCAGGAATCCAAAAGCAGTTTAGGGACAAGGTGGGCACATGATCTGGGTGGAAGGCATGAGTTACCCAGCTGGAACTCTGAGAGAGGTTGACAGCAGCCTCCCCCTATTCCCAGGTGCTCATGTCTTCTCTTCTTGTGCCTTCTCTTGGGAACTACTTTTTGCACAGTGGCTAGAATGTATCACTTCTCACTGGGTCCATCTGTCACATCAAGAAGAGTTCATTTTTCCTCTGGGCAGGACCCCCCACCACTCCCTAGACCACCCACCTGTCTGTACCACTGAGGTGATTGGCTTAGCACTGACAAGCCAAGCCTGTTTCTATTCACTTGCTGCCTTGCATGGATTCGTACTGGCGCTGACAGTGCTGGTCTGACAATGAGCCAGAGCCCTGAATGCTTAGTGATGCCCTTCCTGAGCACAGGCTGGGAGGGTGGTGCACATTTGCCTGGCAATTTGCCATTCCTGAATCAGATGCTGTCTCTAGAGAAATGTCCCAGAGGGAACTCAGGTGAAAGTTTTCAGACACTAAACTAGCAGCAGGAGAAAGCCTGAGACACCTAGAGTTCTCCCCAGACCATCTGAAAGGGCTTGGAAAAGAAGTCTTATGTGGAGACCAGCCATGGTGGTTGATGCCTGTAATCCTGGCACTCTGGGAGGTCAAGGAGGGCAGATCACTTGAGGTTGGGAGTTTGAGACCAGCCTGGCCAGCATGGTGAAACCCCGTCTTTACCAAAAATACATAAAATTAGCCAGGTGTGGTGGTGTGTGCTGTAATTCCAGCTACTCAGGAGGCTGAGGCAGGAGAATCACTTGAACCTGGGAGGCGGAGGTTGCAGTGACCTGAGATTATACCACTCCACTCCAGCCTGGGCAAGAGAGAAAGACTCTGTCTACAAAAGAAAAAAAGTCTTATGTGGAAAGAGGACATGCCAGGTAGGCTGAGTTGGGCTAAAGGCTAGTTTTGCAGGTAAGCAAAAGCAACTATCCAACAGGGCACCCATTTACCATCTAAAAGGGTCAGGAACTGAGAGCAGGACCTGGGATATTCCCTGTGTTGGGCATCTTTTCTCAATCAGAAACTGTAGTTACGAGAGTGAAAAGAGCTGATTAGATCCACAGAGGCTGGGAACACAGCCAGAGAACTTGTGCAAAGAAGGGGGTTGCCAGGCCAAGTGGGGTGGTGGCAAGGGAGGGGCTTCCTGCCCAGAGGAGTGCTTTCTTTTCTGACTACCAGTGATTTGGGGCCATGGACAACCCCTATTTCTCACTAGCCTCTTTCAATTTTGAATTCACCACTTTCTGAGGTATCCTGGGAGTCTCTGGAAACAGCTGAGTGAGCTCCCAGCCAGCAGCATCCACCTGGCTGCACCTGTTCTGGCAGAGGCTCAATCATGAGCCCAGCCAGAACAAGGGCACTGTTCTGTGGCCTGCAGCTGCCTCAACCCTGGGGCCCTGTGCCTGAGTCTGGGGAAGAATGAAAGGCAATAGGCATTCTGTCTGCAAGCTCAAGATGGCACAGAGGCACCACCAGTCACTGCGGCATGAAGGACCCTTGGAGAGGGCAGACCCCAGTTTTCAGACCCAGGATTCAGATGAGGCATCTTAGCTGGGGCAGCAGATGGAGTGGGCAGAGCCGTGGTCCCCCTCAACCCCTGCAGTGCCCAGTTTATGCTAAGCTTTCAGAGTACACTTTCAGTGAAAAGAGTGTCTCCTCTGAATATGGGTTGGAAAATCAGAAACCTACCCCAGTAAGTATATTTTTTTACAGTAAAGACCTGAAGCTATGAGAAAGCAATTTGCCCTGCTTTTCCACAGGCAGTTGGCACCAGGATGGGTTTAGAACCCCGGCCTGTGAGTGCCTAGGTTTGTCTCTCCTCCACTGTCCTTTCTGAAGAAATCAGGGCAGAAAACAGCCTAGACAGAAATTAGAATTGCATTTTTCCACCTGAGGCTTCCACATAGTGGCATCTGAGGTCTAGATGGTGTCACACCCCCTCCTCCACCCTGTGACCCCACCCACCTCAGAAAGCAAATGCCCCCCTGGGCTGAGGCTACTGAATAAGGGGCAGAAGAGCACCATAAGACCTCCTGGGCTCCCCACCTCCCGTGTCCATGCCTCTTAGACCAGAACAGCTACGCAGACCTTCCCTTCCTCCACGCCAGTAGGTTGAACTGTCCAGGTGGGCAGGGGAATATTTACAGGACATGAAGAAAATTAAAAAAAAAAAAAAAAAAAAAGGCAAGAAGAGAGACACTTACAGGTTTATTCTTCTTAGGCCTCAGGAGCTCCGAACAAACTAGCCTTTGCTTGGCAGGCACTCACTATTTATGCCCGCCCTGCACCCTGAGCTGCCCAGCCCCAAAAACTCCCTTCAAGAAGTGGGGCAATTTTCTTCTTTATTGACTCACTCACTCTTATCCCCACCTGCGTTCCGGAAACCTGCCACTGATATTCACAACACTATGCACATCCATCACTAGAGTTTGCAGACCACTATCAGGCCTTGATCTCAGCTGCACCCTTCTCACCGCAGCTCTGTGAGTTAAGTGGCATCATCAGTGTCTTTAGTTTATAGATGTCCAGAAATCAGGAGTCCGGAGACCAGTGAGTTGCACAATGACCTACAGTGATTGCAAAAGCAACTCATAACTGCAGATCTTAAGAAACAGGACCTGTTGTGTCCACTTCTTTTCTTCCTTCATCTCAACAGCACTGCCCAGATATTGGGAAAGAATGGGAGCTGCTCGGCATACCTGGGCAGGGGTGGGGCAGATGGAGTGGCTGCAGAGGCAGCAGCATGTGGGGGCAGCAGCTAGGGAGCTGCCACCTGAAAAGAGTTGCTCTTTTGCATGCTTCTCTAGGCCTCAGAGAGCCCCTGCCTCGCTTGTCTTTTGTGGAATGGATTTCCCTTAGTAGACCTCTGCCTTGCCTTGTTCAAGCTTGTTCTCCCGGCCATCTTAGCTGGTGTTTGCCTTGTGCACTGCTCTAGTGACTAGTTAGCTACTCTTATCCAATCTTATAATCTATATAACTTTTCTTTCTTTTTCTTTTTTTCAGACAGTCTCACTCTGTCACCCAGGCGGGAATGCCATAATGCACTCATAGCTCACTGCAGCTTCAAACTCCTGGGCTCAAGTGATTATCCTGCTTCAGCCTCCTAAGTTGTAGGACTATAGGTAAGTACCGTCACACCTGGCTAATACTTCTTTTTAATTTTTTATACAGATGGAGTCTTGCTATGTTGCCCAGACTGGTCTCAAACTCCTGGTCTCAAGCAATTCTCCTGCCTCAGCCTACAAAAGTGCTGAGATTACAAGTGTAAGCCGTCACACCCACACCAATACGTATCTTTTAAGTGGAACATTTACTCCATTTATTATCAAGGTTAATATTGATAGGTGATGTTTTGTTCCTGTCATAATTGTTACCCAGTTGCTTTTTAGTCTCAATTGTGTAATTGCTTTATATGTTCTATGAGCTTTTCACTTTAATATGCTTTTATGATGGGGAGTATTGTCCATTTATTTTCATGTTTAGAACTTTAAGCATTCCTTGTAGGGCTGGTCTAGTGGTGACAAATTCCCTTTTCATTTGTTTCTATGGGAAAAACTTTATTTCTCTTTCATTTATGCAGCTTAGTTTAGCAGGATACAAAATTCTTGACTGGCAGGGTTTTGCATAATTTAAGAAGATTAAACATAAGACCCCAATCTCTTCTGGCTTGTAAGGTTTCTGCTAAGAAGACCATTGTTAGTCTCTTGGGTTTTCCTTTACAGATTAGACAGTTTGCCCTTGCTGCTTTTAGGATGTTTTCCTTCACATTGACTATGGAGAGTCTAATGATGGTATGCCTTTATGAGGTTTCTTTTGCAGAGCATCTTCCAAGTGTTCTCTGAGTGTCTTCTATCTGGATGTCTAATTCTCTAGCAAGACCAGGGAAGTTTTCCTAAATTATCCCCTCAAACAGGTTTTCCAGTCTTTTATGTTTTTTTTCTTCTCCCTCAGGAATGTCTATATATTGTGTGTGTGATAACTTTACATCATTCTATATTTTTCAAAGTCTTTGCTCATTTTTAAAAATTTATTTTTTCTTTATTTCTGTCTGACTAGGTAAATTCAAACAACTGGACTTCACACTCTGAAATTACTTATTCTGATTGATCTAGGATTTTCCCCCCTTTTAAGGTGTGACTGCATGTTGTGTATGATCATTTGGCTTCAACCTTATGTGCCTTCTGTGGGTCAAAGCTCTGTGTGAGTTTCTTGGTTATAGATAACTTTTGTGTAGTGTCTTTATTATGCTGATTGTAGTAGCAATGTATTGGGCACATAAGCAGGAATATTACTTTCTGAGGGGCTGGGAATGAGTAGGTCTCAGGAAGTTTATTCTCATTCCTTAGCTCTCTGTCCTCTGTCAGCCTGTTTTTTATTTGGTTGTGCAATTGAGTCTGAATCCCAATAAGAGCTGGCTGTGACAGAAGCTGACAGGTATTTAATCTTAGTTTTCTGGGAGGGGATTTCTGTTGTCACAGGAAGTTAGCTGGTCTGTGGGTGGCCTGATTCCCTGAAGGGGACAGAAAGCTTTGGACGGGGATGCAAAACTGAGTGGAGCTAAACGACTAAGCTCTCCCTAGGAAACCCCAATGATGAGCAGAAGCACCTGCCCTGATGGGGGTGGAAAGGGGAGCTCATGGTAAAATGCACTGATGTCTCCACCAGAGTGGGAAGGAGTGTACCAGCTCCATATCCTGGGCAGGCAGGAAGGCAGTCCACTTTCCTATCACACCCTTGTCACAGAGCTTGTGACCTTCAGTTCAGATAGACATTGTCCTTCATCTCTAGGCTGCAGTGCAATGGAGGTCTGCAGAAAACACCCATCCTGTGGCTACCACCAAAATGGCCTTGGGATAGAACCTCTTCCTTCAGCAGCTCTGATACTCATGTGCATTCTGTTATGGGAATGCTGCTACTCCATATGGGGAGGAGGATAAACTCTGACCCTTGTGCAAGCCTTGGCCACTACACACCATCAATGGGAGTGCGGCTCTCCCCCAGTATCCCTGAAAAACCATCCCCAGGTGCACTTCTATCAACTCCCAATAGAGACAGCCAAGGGTCTATCTGGAGCAGTGAGTGAGGGGGTACAAGAAGACTCCCTTTCCATGTTTATTCCCAGGCACCAGTGTCACCTACCTGCCTACTGGTGCAGAACCACACTCCTCCCCTTCAGATCCCAGCACCATGCCTATATCTCTACTGGGAGGGGTCAGTCAACCTCTTATCACAAGTGGGAGCTCTCAGTCAAAGGAGAGCAAACAAATTATTGGTTTATTTTGTCTGAAGGGGTATGTTGGCACATGCACTCTCCCTTCTCCTGAGGGCTAGACCTCCAGGAATCCCATAGCTCCCCAGAGTCCCACCTGTCCCCTGTGGGCTTTGCAGTCTGAGTTCTTGGGAATGTTTGTGGAGGATCTAGTGATGCAAAAACATGGGGCTGAGATTCCCTGGGAAGAATACAGACCCACAATGGGTACATAACCAGTGTGACACTTGCCACTTCAGCTCAGGTTTTGGGGAGAGCAAGTGAGCCTACATGAGCTGAGCACCCAATGCTCTTCCCTCAAGAAGTTCTCAAATCAACACTGACAGCAGTGCCTGGGCTCATAGGTACAGAGGGGCTCTCCAACAAGTTCAGCAGTCTGTAGTCTGCCACAGGAGTGAGGGGAACAACTCCCCCACCTACCCTCTCCATGGAACTCTATGTTCCTTGGGGATCAGTCTCTGCCAAACTCTTGCTTTCTTCTTTTTCTGCACTACAGCTTTTTCCAGTGGGTTCTCCAATAGGTCATGTCACTCCTTCCTCAGTATTCCACTCAGACCATGATTATTCAACTGCAGTTTTGGTTCTTTGTTCTGAGGAGAACTGGTGTCCAAAGTCTCTAGACAGCCATCTTGGGGAAAGGAAAACTCTACTTGTCTTTATAATTACCTTTACCAATGAGACTTATACTTTTGTATGCATTTATGTTTCTGTTTAACCTCTTTTTATTTTAACTTCAAGAACTTTCTTCAGCACTTCTTGCAAGGTGGATCTAGTGGTGACAAATTCCCTCAGTGTGTTTGTCTAGTTTTTATCTTTCCTTCACTAATAAAAGACACTTTGCTAGGTATAGAATTCTTGTTTCTATTGCTAAGTATAGAATTCTTGATTGACAAGTGGTTTTTATTTTATTTTATATCTTTAATATATTATTTCATTCTCTCCTGGTCTGCAGGGTTTCCACTGAGAAATCTGGTGATAGTCTTTTGGAGGTTCCCTTTTATGTGACAAGTCAATTTTCTACTGCTGCTTTCAATTTCTTTTCTTTGAATTTGACTTCTGACAAACTAATTATAATATACAAACTAATTATAATGTGTTCAGTATAGACCTCTTTGGGTTCATCCTATTTGGGGAATTCGGGCCTTCATGAATCTAGATATCTATTTCCTTCCCTAAATCTGGTAAGTTTAAAGTTACTATTTCTTTAAATTGGTATTCTGCCCCCTTTTCTCTCTCTCCTACTTCTGTGACACCCATTATACATAGATAAGTTTCCTTCATGGTGTCCCACAAGTTCCATAGGCTTTCTTTACTCTTTTTTTATTCTTTTTTTTCTTTTTGTTCCTCTGATTAGATAATTTCAAATGACCTATTTATGAATTGCTAATTCTTTCTTCCACTTGATTGAATCTACTGTTGATGTGCTCTATTCAATTTTCAATTCAGTCATTGTAGTCTTCAGTTCCAGGATTTTTGTGGGGGTTTTTTTATGGTTTTTATTTCTTTGTTAAACTTCTAGTTTTGTTTATGTATTGTTTTCCTGATATTTTTTCATTGTCTTTCTATGTTCTCTTGTATCTTGTTAAGCTTCTTTAAGATGATTATCTTAAATTTTCTGTTGAGCAGTTTGCGAATCTTCATTTCTTTCAGTTTGGTTACTGGAGCTTTATTAGATTCATTTCATGGTGTCATGTTTGCCTGATTTTTTCTGAACCTTGTATCCTTTCATTGGTGAATTTGCATTTGTAGAAGCAGCCAGATCAGAGGTTCTGGGTGGGTTGGCTGATGGGGTCAGCAGACAACCAGCTGTTGGTGACCCCAGGTGGGCCTACTGCTGAAATCGGTGGGTAGGTTTGCTGCTGTCATCCATGTGTGTACACATGCATGAACACATGCCCCACGGGGAGTTCGCTCCATCCAGCCTCTGCAGCCTTGAGAGTCCCAGAGCCCAAGTGCCTGAGCCGGCAGGGGGGCAAAAAAAAGCAAGACCGAGCTCCCGGGAGCCCCGGAGGAGGCGAGCAGTGGCCGCCAGCTAGTTGAGCACACCCCCCACCCGTCCCAGTGGCGCCGCGCCAGGCGGTGTCCAGGCAGCATGGAGAAGGACGGCCTGAGCCGCGCGGACCAGCAGTATGAATGCATGGCGGAGATCGGGGAGGGCGCCTATGGGAAGGTGTTCAAGGCCCGAGACTTGAAGAATGGAGGCCGTTGCGTGGCGTTGAAGCGCG